CATTACTTACGTTTTTATTGTAAGATATCTAACGAAGCTTCCATAAACTTTCATTGAATTAAATAAGTATTACGAACTGGACTCATAAAAATCCCTAATTTTACTTAGACATATGACATTTTTTGTTTCGCTAATCGCATATCAATAGAGGTGTCTATGAAATGGAAAAATGGCAACAATCTGTAAAAGAAGAAAGGTGAGTACAGCATAGCTATCTTATCTTGTACCATGTTAAACGCCATATATAAAGAGTTTAGCTATAAGAATTTTAAGACTCCATGCTAGTAATTACTCTGAGGTGCGCACATAAATAACGACAGCATAATGACGCCTTACAGGTAATGAATATACCTACTTTATTGTACACCACTTTTGAAATTACATTTAGATAGAAATTAAATACTGATCTAAAATATTTTTGATCTTATTGACATAATAGAAAAAACTGAACTGGTTATTTGAATAAAAACTCATGAGTGCAATTAGTTTAATTAAAATTTTCGTATTTTTAAAAAATACTGAAAAAATGGTCTCGAAATAATAGATTTTCTCGCAAAAGAAGGTAACTTGAAGAAAAAAGGAAAAAAATCGGACCGGAGACAGGACGCGAACCAAGGCATTACGATGTCGCGACCGCTCGATATCCACTTCAGCTATTACGATCATTAACACAGAGTCACAATTTACCTTCTCATATTGTAGAAATTTTTCATTGCCTGAAAACACTCACAAAAAACATTTTCTAAAAATAAATCCCAGCTAGATCGATTTATTGCCCCTGAAAATCCCTGGACGCTAAATTTTATGAAAATCGTTGGAGCCGTTTCCGAAATTCCGAAATATAAATATATATTACAAAATTCCTCAAACAGTAAACATGATCACATAATTTATCCTAACGTTGTCCAAACGATTGAGACAAGTAAAGCTCTTTAAGTAGTCGCTTAAAGATTACAATAGTTTGTGCTTCACGTATACTCAAATGTAGGGCATGCCAGAGCTTAATAGTCTGGACAGTAAAAGATTTATTAAGAAAATATGTATTGTGAGTTGATACTCTTAAATCGAATTTTCTTTAAGAGCGTAGAGGTTCTCCTGGAAGCCCCACAAAATTAAATTTCTTCTTTAGATAGAGGAGGATTAGAAGGGTGAAATAATACACAGTACAGAATAGAAAGAATATACATGTTCCGGTAAAGTCGGACTGAGACGTATATATATGGTCAAATTTGCGCAATCCAAATATGAACCTAAATATGAAATATGAAATTGGGGGACGCCTATGTTCAGCAGTGGACTTGTGAAGGGCTGTAATGATGATGATGATGAAATATGAACCGAATACTAGTATTTTAAAGTCTCTCAAGTTTATTCAGCTGGTCCTCAGTTATGTTTACATAGCTTGAGTCAGCATAGTCGAGAATCGGAAGAAGAAGAATAGAGTGTGCGAGCATAATTTTTGTAGGAATGGGGAGAAATGATCGAAGGCGACGCAGTGAACAAAGAGCGACAAAGGTTTTCTTACTTGCATAATTCAGTTGGTGTATGCAATTTAAGGAATTATCAATTTCGATAGGTGGTACGGATAATATGTACATTTTCTTAGTGACATGATAAAAACCAGTGTTAGATTGTCGAAAACAACGGCTCACGGTTTACAAAACAAAGAACCAGTCTTCTCGGTCGGCCGCAATAGATTAAAGGAGTTAAGGAGAATTGAGCTTAACTAAGTACGCAATGTATTAAGGCAGAGCTCGTTTATTAGTTAGGCGTACATGCCGTGTAGTGGCGGTTGAGAATATCCACTACCCCATATCTTCCCGTGGGTGTCGTAAGAGGCGACAGAGGGAGACAGGCAGGAGATGGGCAGCAGCATCTTCCTGATAACAACAATAATATAATAAAAAAACTGCGGTTGCCAACCCGCTCGCCAAGCGTGGCAACTATGGCAAATATCCCCCCATGAATAACGACGCAAACAAACGGCCCCCAGTCCCCGGCGGCCCCGCTATTCCTGGCTACGGTGGCGACCATGGTAACGGCGGGACAGAGGGTGCTAAGAATCACCGGTGGAGGTTCGGTTGCCACCTACGACGACTCGACTTGGCAACATATACCGCACGCTTCCTGAGGACTGACGAGAAGATACTGGAGCTGGAAGGAGAGGTAGACAAGTTGCGCTGGCAACTATTATTGGATTATCCGAGGTCCGAAGAGAGGGGGAGGACATGGTAATCCTCGAGTCCGGCAACTTGTTCTACCACCGGGAGGGCGACCAACTGTCCCAAGGAGGTGTCGGATTTATCGTCCACAAGTCTCTCGTCAACAACGTTGTAAAGATGGGAGTGTGTCGACGAGGGTCGCGTACCTGATACTCAGAATCACCAAACGGTATTCGCTGAAGGTCATACAGGTTTACGCACCAACCTCGGCACATCCCGATGAGGAGGTGGAGGAAATGTATGAGGATATTTCCAGAGCCATGCATTCCTCCAAAACCCACTACACGGTGTTGATGGGAGACTTCAACGCAAAACTAGGCACAAGAGAAAGCGGTGAGCTGAAGTTAGGGAAATTTGGAGTAGGGCAACGGAATTGTAGGGGCCAGCAGCTGGCCGACTTTATGGAGAAAGAGGGACTCTTTATGATGAACTCTTTCTTCCAGAAGCGGCCCCACAGGAAGTGGACCTGGTCGAGCCCCGACGCTTCGACAACAAATGAGATTGACTTCATTATGACGACCAGACGCCAACTGTTCAGTGGTGTCTCAGTGATCGCAAGGGTGAAAACTGGCAGCGATCACCGAATGGTTAGAGGCACACTGAACCTAAACTTTAAGTTAGAGAGGTCTCGTCTAATGAAGTCAACGCTCCGTCCCCCTCGTGCTCGTCCTCGTGCGCTTTCAGTGCCTAGAAGATTGCAATGCAGTGGACGATATGAATGACAAGTTCGTGGAAACTGTCCATGCGGTCGGAGCTACGTTCTGCAAGACCCGCCGCAGAAGAACACAAAAACTCTCCGATCACACTCTTAATCTCATGGCTGTTAGAAGGGAAATGAAGTTGCAATCTTCAGCAGATTTGACAGCATACAGAGAACTGAACAGACAGATGTCCAAATGCATGCGGCGAGACTTGCGCAACTTCAATACTGCTCGTATTGAAGAAGCGATCGAGCGGAACCAGGGCTCCAAAGTCTTTGCAAGAGATCAGTCTGCCAGTAAGGGGCAACTGTCAAAGCTGAAGACTGAATGTGGCTGCATCGTTTCCGGGACACCTGAGATTCTGAGTGAGATTGAGAGGTTCTATGGACAGCTATACACATCATCGTTGGAGCCACACGCAAGTGTGAGTAACGATCGAAGAGCAAGTCTTATCCGACACTGTTCCGATGATATCCCGGACGTCAGTCTGAGCGAGATTAGAATGGCTGTCCAGCACCTTAAAAACGGCTAGTCCCCGGGCGAGGATGGAATTACAGCGGAGATTCTGAAAGCGGGTGGAAAACCAGTATTTGAAGTCCTTCAGAGGCTCTTTAACTCCGTCCTCCATGATGGCACTACTCCGGAGGCGTGGAGCAGAAGTGCGGTGGTCTTGTTCTTCAAGAAAGGTGACAACACCTTCTTGAAGAACTACAGACCGATATACCTTCAGAGCCGCGTCTACGTGCTGTTTTCGGGAGTCATTACGAATCGTCTCGCACGCAGACTCGACGACTTCCAGCCTTCCGAACAAGCCGGTTTCCGAAAAGGCTTTAGTACCATAGACCACATAAATACCCTTCGGCAAATTGTACAGAAGTTCGAAGAGTACAATCTACCACTTTGCCTGGTGTATGTGGACTATGAGAAAGCCTTTAATTCCGTTAAATTCCCCGAAACTCTTCACCGCTGCATTGAAAGACGTTTTCAAGCTACTGGACTGGAAAGGATACGGTATTAACATCAATCGCGAGTACATCACTCACCTTCGATTTGCCGACGATATAGTCCTTATGGCAGAATCGCTGGAGGACTTAAGCACTATGCTCAATGACCTCAATAGTGCCTCCCAACGGACAGGTCTTAAGATGAACATGGACAAAACAAAGATCATGTTTAATGTCCATGTCACACCTATGCCGGTAGTTGTTGGGAGCACTAAGCTCGAAGTTGTTGACGAGTACGTTTACCTGGGACAAATAGTCCGACTAGGTAAGTCCAACTTCGACCGAGAGGTCAATCGACGGATTCAACTCGGCTGGGTCAGCGTTCGGGAAATTACGACGCATCTTCTCGTCAGGTATACCTCAAAACCTGAAAACTAAGTTGTACAACCAGTGCATGTTGCCAGTGATGACCTACTGAACTTAGACGTGGTCCTTCACTGCTGGCCGTATGAGGACGCTCAAAGTCGCTCAGCGAGCTTTGGAGAGGGCTATGCTCGGAGTTTCTCTGCGTGATAAACTTAGAAATGAGGATATCCGCAGTAGAACCAGAGTGACCGACATAGCCCAACGAATTAGTAAGCTGAAGTGGCAATGGGCCGTTCATATAGCTCGAAGAACCGACAACCGTTGGGGAAGAAAGTTTCTCGAGTGGCAGCCTCGTACCGGTAGGCGAAGTGTAGTGCGACCTCCCACTAGATGGAGTGACGACCTGGTAAGACATGCAGGAAGTCGATGGATGCAGGTAGCTTAGGACCGTGCTTTGTGGCATTACTTGGGGGAGGCCTATGTTCAGCAGTGGACTTGTGAAGGGCTGTAATGATGATGATGATGATGACATTACACGCTCCTGCGGGCTGTCAGTTATACAACAATCACGGTTTTGATAGACGAATAACCTACCTTGTAATGTAGTGATTGGCGCCTGCATGAGCGTGTAATGTAGGCCTTATACATACAAACAGAAGACTACTGATCATGAGGTCCTGGGTTCGAATCTCGAGTCAGGCGAAAAAAAAAATTATTATTATTATTACAAACAGAAGTCTTTGGTTTTATATAAAAGAAGGGGTTACCTTGCCGGCATCGGCCAATTTGCGAAGCAGCTGCAGATCTTGAGCATCGGGAGAAAAGAAGGCCCAGCGCACCGGCGCCACGCTGCCTGCCGTCACCACACCCGCCGCCTGTGCGTCACACACGGAACAGAAAATTAGCCCATCATCCTACTATAAACGTGGTAGAGCCACGCTGCAGCTATATTATAGTTGTAGCACGAATGGGTCGGCTCGACCGGGGAGGACTACGCTCTCACAGAATGCCAGCGTAATACTGCCATCGTATGTTGAGTGTAGAGAACCGGGGACCCAGTTCTCTACACAAGGGGGACCCCTTTTACTGGAAATGAGACATTCGATCTTAGTCTACAGGGATGACAACGCATCTGCATCTTGATTCGTAATTGAGGAATTCGTAATTGTGTCTTCAGGTCGGGCTGTGTGCTCGTGTGTCACCCTTATTCTATAAAAAACATCCCACTACACCTACTAACTTGACAATAACCCACAATAGGACATCCAAAAAATCTAAATCCTAAATTACAGTTAGATAGATATAGATAGATAGATAAGGATAAAAATCTATCATCGTAGTGCTAAAAATCACAAATAAAATTTTTGTAAAATTTCTTTTCTTGGTACCTATGGTATATATATCTTGGTATATATGTACGTAAACTATAATAAATAGAACTATAAAATGTACTATCAAATTGATTTTCATACCAATACATTTTTTGTTTTATTTTTCTTCAATAAGATATTAGAATAACTTATTTGTTTACAGAAATTTTTTTAGTTAATATTTAAATCATTAAAATTGGTCACTTTTATGCTTATTAATTTTTTAACCCTTTTAATAGATAGCTTCTGTATGTTTATGGGTCTGTGTTGTAAACGCATATAATAATGTATATGTCCATGAACAAATTACTGACTCTTTGGAATCGAATAACTGGTATAACTAGAGTGTGTTTACAGAATACAAATTACTATTTTTAATAAAACTATTTTTGGTATACTTACATTATATTTTAGTAGATATACTGAGAGGTCAAGGTGAATATATATTTTTTTCTCTAAGAGACTCCTTTAGATCTAAGTTATAAATTGCTCATATGGCTCTTTTCTACAAAATAAATATAGTTTCAATGTCAGTCGCATTATTCTACATGACATTACGTTACACTGTTTAAAGTTTTAACTCTAGTAAGCCTCTAATATTTTTATTGTTTGTGTTGTTGTGTCTATGGTGCTAAAGTCTTTTCGTAATTCGGCTTGTTCGAGAGGCTGGAAGTCGTCAAGTCTGCGTGCGAGACGAATCGCAATTACTCTCGATAATAGCACATAGACGCGACACAGAAGTGAAATCGGCCTGTCGTTCTTCAAGAGAGCGTTGTCGCCTTTCTTGAAGAATAAGAGAATCGGACTTCTGCTCCACGCCTGTAGAGAAGTGCCACCATGGAGGACGTAATTAAAGAGCTTCTAAAGGACTTTAAGTACCGGTTTTCCACCCTCTCCCAGAAGCTCTGCTGTAATTCCCTCCTCGCTCGGGAATTCGCCGGTTTTAGTTGCTGGAGAACCATTCTAATCAGATTGATCGCTCCGATTGACTTCCGGAATAGTTTCGGATAAGGCTTGTTCTTGGATCGTGACTCACACTCGCGTGTGGCTCTAACGATGACGTGTACACCTGTCCATAGAACCTCTCAATCTCACTCAAAATCTCAGGTGTCCCGGAAACGATGATGCCGCTGTCGGTCTTCAGAGCCTTAACAGTTTGCTCTTTCTGGCAGATTTTATGCAAGTCGTCAGTCATAAAAATCATTCGTGCTATAACCATAATGCAGCAGTAATATGGCTCTACCATGTTTCAAATCAAAGGAGAATTAACACAAGTATAATTTAAATATTTGGCAATTTAAGAAAAATCGGCGATATTTAATAAAAATTATATAATATCGTTATGTAAGTTGACGGTGGTTTCGTTTCAATGTCATTAGAATGACGGTCGAGCCGACGCATTCGTGCTATAACCATAATATAGTTGCAGCCTGGCTTTAACACGTATTAATATAAAATCTGCGTTGTGTGCGTGTAGATGGGAGCGTGTGCGTGCGTGTGTGTGTTTGTGTGTACACATGTGTTCGTGTGTACGTTTGTGCGTGTACATGTGAGCATCTGTGCGTATGTACGTGTGTACATGTCTGCGTGTGTGTGTACGTGTGTACGTATGAACGTGGTTATGTGCGTGCGTGTGTACGTATGTGCGTATGTCCGTGTGTGCGCGTGTACGTGTACGTGTGTGCGTGTACGTATGTACGTGTATGTGTGTGCGTGTGTGCGCGGTGCTCACGTGCGCGGCGGCGATCTGCTGCGCGAGTGCGGCGAGGGCACGCGCGGCGCCGGGCAGCGGCCCGCTGGCGTCGGTGGCGCGCAGCAGCGGCGCGCTCAGCGTCACGTAGCGTGCAAAACGCCAGCGCCGCGCCCCCGCCTCCGCGCCCCCCAGCCCCGCGCAGTCCAATATCGCCTCGTATCTGCACATCGCGTACCGCCACAATATAACGACGGCTCTGTGGCGCCGTATCTAAAGGTAGCCATACATGTTAGGGTGTACCGGTAATGTTTGCTCTATAGTCACATCCTTTAAGTAAGCTTGAACCGAGTAGGGGACTTACATGTACGGTTATGCAACATACACTTTCTCGTTTACTCGGTACAGTTGAACTATACAGGTATACCTGTCAGGTACACATTAGCGTGTATGGCTACCATTAGCAAGAGCCACGGCACGAGTCAAGTTTGCTTATTTTAGGTCCACAGGCAAACAAATAAACAATTATCTAGTCTGCAAATGACGTATCAAGACTACTACAAGAGTTTTGTGTTTAATTTGCATTTTGGAAATAAATAAATTTGTTATTTGTTTTATATTTTAAACATGGATAGCTTTGATAAGAACAAAGATAGGTAGGTACCATTCATAATTTTAATACAACAAACAAAAACACTTCCACAATAAGCTGCAGCGATAAGGGCCGCGGGTTCGAATCCCACACGGAACAAGTATGTTGAAGAGTTATTCCGTTTATGCACCCTAAAAAATCCACCTTAGGTTGGATACTCGGAAACGCGTGTTCATCTATCCACCCCAGACGGGATGGATAATCGGAATTCACTTTTATTTGTTCTTCCGACTTTTCTCCCTAATAACAATTCAACACATATTCTTAAATTATTAATTATCGAATTAATGATTTCTTATATTTACGCGAACACTACACATTAAATAAAACAATTTTTTACGGATTTTAGCTTCTTTTCCTCCTTCGTCTGATGAGTTCACAGACAACGACCGTCTCTTCGAAGTCCATGTCGCCAAATGACGCTTCGATTTGGAATACAGTTGGGTATGGCAGAAGAAGCACGAAAGTAGAATAAATGCTGTAAAATGCGGTGTTTAAGGAGTATGCTAGGGCTGAATCTGAATGACAGTAAGAGAAAAAGGACATTGCTCAGCGCCCATACATTTTTCGCCCTGGAACCAAAAGCATCGGAAAATTGTGTGTTGTATTGTCGATCATTAGGGAATTACTATATGATATTATTTTTATAGCGGACTAGCTGCAGAAAAGATATATTTCAAAAAAAGTATCAGATTTTGAGGTTATAATAGAACTACCACTATTATAGTTTTATCATTTGGTATGATTTTTAAGAAACTAAAAAACAATATCGTGTTACATTTAACAATTTCAGTAACGTCTTACAACAATATAAAACCACCAGCAGAGCCGCAATTAACACAAAACACACTTTTCATTACATATGCGTAACAAAGAGAATATAAACTCCCTTAGTAAAAGTAAACGTATGAAAGGGCGCCAAACTACTCTACGAACATCAAGACATGAAATTATAATGAACAACAGTGCTGACAACATAGACGAATTATACTAGTTCTGTAAATGTCTATCCTCGAGTAATTTTATCGATATAATGTTTATCGATTTATTGTTTATCGTAATTTTTATATTTAAAATATTAATTGTCATAAACTCGTTAGTGATCGTTTAGTTAGAAGTAAGCCACACGCTTTTCTAAACCATCATTAGAAAACCTAATCATCATGAAATAATTAGGTTTTATTCACTTCAGCATTATTCTAACTACCTATTTATTTTCGAGTTTGACCTCATTCATTTAACATTATATATAGTAAGTTTTTTAAATTATACTTTTTGGGAATAACAAAAAGAAATGGTGATTGTTTTTATTATAGTTTCTCTATATTATTTGCTCTTTATTCGAAAAAAATTCATAATTTGATTCAGATTAAAAAATATGCAACTGTTCATTAAAAATTCAAAAGATCGATTATAATCGATTGGGCGTCCCTAGTAATTTTTCTACACCACATGACGTTTGGCGAAGATGACGGCGATTAATATTATAAGTCGAATAAAATATTTTTTTAATGTTCATTTTGGCATGCAGCTAGTCCGTGTTATAAAAGTATTTGCAACAAATATAATAAAACAGATAATTAATTATGGTGTATGTCCGATGTTTTTATTGCACAGGGCGATTTTGGACATTGTCCTTTGGTATGCAAGATGATGTTGTGACAAGGGAAGGAATGCTTCGGTGGTTTGGTCATGTAGAAAGAATGAACGAGGGAAGAGTGACAAAGCAAATTTATATGGCAGATGTGAACGGCAGAGTCGGGAAGGGACGCCCTAGAAGAAGGTTCATCGACAAAATTGGCGTTATTTTGAAAATGGGCCACATTAGGAGTAACCTTAACCGACAGGCGTGTATGCGTAGTTATATGGATGTAAAAGAGGCGTGTCAGGTTCGTGCCAAATGGAAGTCCGTAGTCTCTGCCTACCCCTCTGGGTGACAGGCGTAAGTATTTATATTATTATTATGTTATTTTATGCTAACCTCAATTAATAATGTCCTCCAGACCGAGTTTCGGCCACGGCGCCCTGCCTCAACGGAGACCAGCCATCGGCGCAGGTCAGGGTTATAGTGCCCAAGTGTATGCGCAAGCACAGGTGCACTCTCTATTCCCTCTTATATTACGATGGGACGGTAAACCGACACGACCGGAGAGAGATCAGGCGCAGGACCAACGGCTTTACGTACTTTCCGAGGCACGGGGTAATACACCGCCAACTTCCTGACTTCGGGCAGCTACTGAGAATTTCTTGACGGAAAAACTCAATAATTGATTTTTTCGAAGCCATGACCTCATAATCAGCAGTCGCACTACTACAACCACTAGACCAGAGTTCCCCAAACTTTTCGTGTCGTAGACACCTTGCCATGTTTTTCCGTGTTGGGTAGACCCCCTAGTTACCTGATATTGATTTCCTGTAAATTTGTAACTGTAGTGAAGTTTAGTGTTAAAAACTTAAAGTAAAAACACATGTTAATTTATACATTTATTAATTGAATTTAAATTAAAACTACTCAAAATAAAATTTTGTGTCTGTTATGTAAAATATACGTAACATTAAATAAAAATAAAATAAACTATAAATATAATAACATAAGCAATAAGTCAATATTTTTAGTGAGAAGGATGAACCTGATGCTTTAATAATAAATTATCAACATTTGGCGTCAATTTTGTAAGGGTTAATCTTAAATCTCCTCGGTTAATGATGCCAGTCCGTTTCTTTTTTCGTTAGGAGATTTGTAACAGCGCTGAACCCCGTTCCACTAGGTATGACGATGGAAAGGAAATTAAAAATTTCCTCGCTATATTCCATAATAAGGGATAAGTAACGGGTATGTTGTTTTGCAGCCAGAATTGCTGATATCCGTTTTTAAACTGAACCTTAAGTTCTTCGTTTGTACTTAGTTGAGTCAGTTCCTCTTGTATTATGACATTCGTTTCTTCTATGTCACCATATGAATTAATTATCCACGGTGGTATTACCATAGTCAAAATATCCTCAAACCTAGATTCAAAATCTGAATAGAGGGCATTTAAATGTTGAACGTAAGTTGAAACGTCGTCTTCCTGGCAGCTTGTCTGTGACAAATTGGGGAACTGAGAAAATTCACCCCGTCCAATATTTTGCTTCATTAGTTTAACTCTGGCAAGAAACGCTGATAAGATGGACTTTGTTTTAATCAAAGGGGGATGCCCACTGTTCATAGACACTTCGGCCATGGGTGCCCACATATAAAAGCATATGGAAATGATAATATGCAATTAAAATAATGAAATGGTTAAGGAATTGGTTTAAAAAAAGTCGGGATTTTTATGATATAAAGCTTTTTATTTTCACAAATACAGCTTTTTAACGACTACTTTTACCAATTTTATTGCTTTTAATTTCTTTAACTTTTAATTCCCGACGCGTGATTTTTCTTTTGGAGGCCTATGCCAAAAGGCACACCGAACAGAGGGACTTACTTTAACTAGTATTACAATAGGAACTCAAACACAAATATTATGTAACCCCAAAGTTCGGAAATAAATGGCTATATTATTATTATACTATTATTATTAATTCCTGACGTTTCAGGTGCTTTATAGCACCCATGGTCACGGGGTACTGAGGTGACTGCCATCCCAATGTCAGTATTGGGACATGGAGTACCTTCAGCTTTTTATTATTATTTTTATAGTCCAATCTACGCAGATTGAACTTACTCTATCTTTAAGTCTTGCAGTGGTATGCTTGGGGTTTGTTTTAATTTTATTAATTATAGTGTCCCAAGCAGGTGGCAGTACCCAACCGCCTTCTCTACTGAAATTAGGATGTTTTTTAATTTCAGTAGCCTCACATATCATCCTTGGTAGGAATTAATGTTCTTTAACGAGGATTTGTGGTCTATCAAATCTGATGTATGTCTATCTGGTTGGGGTGACACCCTTGACATACGGTAGTACAGCAGGCACACGCTCAATTGCGGTCGGCTTCACTCGGTCACTGTGACGAAGACGTGGGACCCGAAGCTTGATTTTGTGCAGAACCTGCTTGACGTGCTGAAGCTCCGCGGCCAGGTGCTTGTTCTCACAGATCCCATATGCTCTCTGTAACAAAGATTTGCTCATGGTAACTAACTGTGAAGGATTATGGTGAGATTCACCGCTTAAATATCAGTTTGTATGGGTCTTTTTTCTATACACAGTGTGACCTATGATGTTGTTAGGATTTTGGATAACAAAAACATCTAGGAAAGCTAAGAAATTATTTGCCTCAGATATAATATCATAATTACTGAATAGAATTTGGCACAGAGAGTGGTAACGATGGATAAAATTCATAGGAACAACATCCTGATTTAATATTTCTTGGGCCATATTCATGAGCCGCTCTAATTTGTTTCTTGGTACTTGCAATAATGCCTATATGCATTCATCACTATCTCCTGTTCTTACTTTTATCAAATATACAGCAAGTGCAAAGCATCCACTATGTTTACTTGACATTTTGGGCACTTCAGACAGAATTTATTGGCATTGTGCCTTTGATAAACGTAGATAATAATGTACAGTATATTCGGGCATATT